TTTATAAAAAGTAAGGTTGCTGGGTCATAATCCTTTCCTGAGGCATTGTACCAAAATAAAGGCAGCAGGGGGTAGTTATGATGGAGAGATTTTCCCCCCTTTCTTTCCTTTTTAGATCTGGAATACCTCTAATTGACCTACTGCACTTTTGTTCCTTGTCAAAAGGAAAACAAACAAGCAGTACATGTAGAGGCTAAGGGTCTCTTTTTGGCTGTGCCTATGTTTCTGATTGTATTTTCCAATATGCCCTCCTTTCACTTTTCCTATTATTATCTTATCTTTCCTGCTCATATGGACACTGTCTTGGCCTACATGCTCTTACACTAATAGTCTTTAAGGCTTCTCTTTTCATGTCACTCCTTTGTCACAGAGAGAGGAGGAGTGGCATTGGGGAAAGACATGGCCTAAGATACACCCTAATCTTCTCTGTTTATACCACCACCCGCAAAAGAGGAGGAAATTCTCTGGAGTTTGAATGAGAAGCTTTGGCCTCTCCTATAGACGGGTGCACAGGGCGGAAATAGTGTTTGTTAATCCAGTGGAATCATTAAAAAGATCATACACAAGAGGGTAGCTTTAGAAACTGAGAAATTTGGACCATACCAAATTCACTAAATAAGAACTCACTAAATCAGGTGAACTTTTCTGACCCTCATGCATCCAAAAGTCCAGAACCTTTTAAAAGAACTAGATTATGATGACTTCTCTTCTAATTTCAAGAGAGTGAGAGAGTTCTTGGAATATTAGCAATATTCTATTGAGTATCACAACCATTTTGAATTTTGGAATAAAGTACAAAAACCTTTCAGGACTGATGGCCAGACAATTAATTTCGATAGTGTTTGTGCTCCAGATAATCCATAGAAAGGTAAAGCACAATTTTAAAGCATTTTTAAGAATATGATTCCCTATGTCTTCATTAGAGTCTTACAATAGAAAGTGGTGCAAAATTGGAAGTAAAATATAAAAGAATTAAAGTTAAAATTCTAAATATAGTCTACATCTAATGTACTGATTTTTCCCTCTTTCCTATAGAAGAACTTGGATAAAATGAAAAAGTTTATAAAATATACTTGATTTTTAGATCATAGAAATGATCTTCCCTTAAAAATAGGCTACAGTGGTTTGAAAAAAATGTTATTTGCAATAAGAACTTTCCTTTTACTATAGACTATGAAGCATAGGGAAGAAATTTCAATGGAGATACTTAGCTTTCCAAAGTTTGCCATATCATTTATTCCTCTAGATTTTGAATGAAAATGCTTGCTTCCGTCCAAGAGATTCTAAGGACTTCTGGCTTTATATTTACTGTATTTAAATTCTGAATATTTGAAGTACAAAAAAAAATCAACATTTTGAATGATCCATAGTAATACTAGTTATTTTCACTTTTGAGTGTATGTATATGCCACTTTTTAAATAAAATTCTCCTATAGTTAGTGGGGGTATTTTTATTATAATCAGATAGATGATAGATAGATAGATAGATAGATAGATAGATAGATAGATAAATAGATAGATAGATAGATAGATAGATAGATAGATAGAATATAGGCAGACCACAGAGAGACAGTCTACAGAGATATGAGTGAATATAGATATATGTGTGAGAGACAGAGAACATTTTAGAAGAGGTTAAGGCGGTAACTGATGACTTTGGACATGAATTCTTTTTGGCCCTTAACTAAGTGTCTTCAGGTCTTACATTACCGACTGCATATTACTGTTATCAATTTTTAAGTAATTATGAATCAAATGAATCAATTTTTCATGGTTGGACTTAATCACCAGCTTTTACAAGTAATAGATGGCAAAAATATTGTCAAATTTTCCTTAAGAAACAAGAAAATGTTCAAGGAGTGTGATATCAGTATCCTATGGTACTCCAAACCCAGATTCTGAATTCCTTCAGAAGAAATTTTCAGCCCACATTTGTATTTTTCAAACATTTCATTACTTCTTTAGCTCTTCCTGTGGCACCCAGGGGATGGATTAGCCCTATGGATGTTCAGCAACATGGATGTTGAGACTGATCCTTAAAAGAGAAACTCTTAAAAGAGAACCAGCTTCGGTTTTATTGCTACCAAATCTATTACTTTTTTTCTTTGAAGAGCTGAAAATTCTCTCATTTGGGAGACTGCAAGACATTGAGAATTCAGAAGTGTAACACACACACACACAGAGATGCACACACACCCACACACACTCAAACTCTAGTTCCAAAAATATATAAACACAGAGCCATTTCCCAATGCCACCATCCACCAGTCTCTCACACACCACTTCCTCCTCAGGTTTTTCACAAAGAGTGTGATAAAAAGAATAAAGACAACATTTTGAAATTAAACCAAAAAAGGTGTTATGGGCCCTTAAAAGAAATCACTGAAAAATGACAGTAAGATTAGTACAATTGAACAATGGCAATGGTCAGAGGGTTTCCTTTTATAAGACAAATTCACATGCACACACAAACTAAATTGTAGTTGGAATATTGAAAAAACAACAATGTAATATTTAAAGCACCTACTATGTGTCAGACACCAGACAAATTAATTAGAATGAAGAATTGTAAACAGTCTGAGAGGAGTACATGCATTTTTTGTCTATGGCTTCTATGTAAATTTCCTTAATCCATTTAAAGTGAAGACATTTCCAATAAAAGGATGTTAGGCATTTTGTACTATTTGACTTTGATAATGTACTTAGAAAAGAATGCCTGGGATATAGCAGAATCTTAAATATTTGTTAAATGAATGAATGGTTATAAGCACTTATCAAAGACAAAATAAGTCATCTGCCACTTTTAATGTATTTGGAAAGACATCAACAAATGGCTATTGTAAGGAAGATTGCAGTTGCTAGCTAGGATAATCTGTGTGGTAATTTATTTATTCTACTATAGAATATTTGATCAGAACCCCTGGGGGAAAACTTTTGTTGTGATTACTTCTATGCTGGCAGTCAGTGCTTCTATTCCAGAATGAGATCTCAAACCAAACTCATGTCCTCTCTTCATGTCCCTGCCATTTAACCATCCAGTTGTTAACACATTTTTAAATCTGACAGGTTATTTCACTTCTAAAATGATACTAAGAGTCACACATGTCAGAACTCCACTTGATAAGTTGTGTTCATTTCAAATGTGGTATGTGAGCACTGAATCCTCACTCTTTAAATCCTGCAAAGTGTATCAATAATTATGCCAAATCCATCCAACAGTTGATTGAGGTGTTTTCAGTTTGATGTGGGTGTCAAAATGTGAACATTATTCAGATCTTTGCCTGGTACATTGAATGGGGGAAAAACCCATTCATACATTACAGATCCATTCCTAACATGAAAATTAGGAAAAGGTATCTTGGATTCTACATACACTTTTTTTTTTTTTTTTTTTTTGGTGGTGGTGGTGGCTACAGAGGTGACTTTGCTGCCTGGCATCCTGTCCCTCCTTATTATGCCTAATTACATCTGACATATATACAAGTTCTAAGATGGATACAAATTTATTTAATTCTCGAGTAGTGCTTTACAAAGAAATGTAAATGTCTCACCTATTTTGAAAAGATTAATGCATGTACCACTGGTTCTTCTTCTTCAGGCCTCTCTTGATTTATCCTTACCTGTTCTTGCTGTGTCATCAGAGACTGGACACCAACCTGAGAAAATTCAGTCATAGTAGCTCTTTGCTTGCATTTACACTAGTTATTAGTGAAATTTCTTGTTTGTACCAGACAGAAATAAACAATGGAGAAAAGAGTGGTTTTATATTTAAAGTGGTATTATGAGGGACCAAAGTAGCAGCCTAAGAAAACTCAAACTGCTTTTGACCAAATAAATATGCCCATAGAATAAAAATTGTATGAAAAGTAATAATTTGTAATAAATTATATCCCAATATTGAAATAGAGAACTTCACCCTATATATGTATTAAATCTACTGGGGAAAAGTTTAGGAAAAGTTAGCCTTAATTTTACTTTATGATCATAAAGCTTTTTAGTATATAGATTACCTATTAGATATTGTAGATAAATCAATCTCTACTATATGAATATTTTTTCAAACGTTCATATAGTTGAGAACTATTTTTCCACATATCGAATTTTTTCCTTAGAAATCTTCTAGTCATAGATGACAACAGCTTGAAGTTCACAACTATACTTAAACTCATTGCCATCTTCTAATTTTGTGGTCATGAGCTTTTGAGCCAAAGAGGTGTTGGGAGTTCACAAGGGCAGGGCTAAGGGAAGAAAACACTGGCCTTTGGACCCCAAGTACTGACCTTAAAGCTGTTACATGAATCGCCCATTCCCGAAGATATTGTTATAGTCAGGTGTGTGAAAATGAGCAGTAAGAATGCAAAAGAGAAAGACAGAAAGAAAGAATAAAAGGGAAGGAAGAAAAGAGAGAGAAAATTGTTTTAAAGACAAGTTTGACATAAGTATTTAATGTATTTTTTTCATTTTTAATTTTTTTTTACTGTGTTCTGCTTCTTAAGCTGTAGAGAGAAGAGTTTGGCTTCTGACTTTTCATGCATTGCTGTGAATTTTGATTACATACATAACTCCAATCCTCTGGGGTTGGGGGGACAATTATAGTTCATTATATGCATCTCAAGTTGTTTATTGCTTGTGATGTACAAGGATAGTTTAAGGACTTGTTTCTGCCAAGAGCTTCCCCCACCACCACCAAATAATTTCACAACAGAGTAAAAACACATGGACTTTATATAAAGTAAAAATAGAAGTGATATAAGGGTTGTATTTTTATAGCTGTATTTGAGTACATTTCAAATGAATGTTTGTTAAACAGGGGGAAAAATCAGACTGGCATTGTCGTGATTCTAAGCGAATTAGGTGAGGCAGGAACAGGAAGAATCTGAGTAGCTTGCATTTAATTAGCACTTACTGGTACAAAATAAATTAGACAGATTTGTCTTGTTTTATGAGCAAGATCCTGTTTTTCTATTTCATTTTCTTTGTGCTTTTGGTAAGGACGGATCTGGCGCTTTGGATACTAAATAGGCAACTAATTCAATTGGTGCTTTCTCCGAGGGTCTGCTTGCAAACCGGTGCCAGACTCACTGGTCCTTTGTGTACTGCCCGCCCTGCATGTGTCTGGGCTCCCCTGGCCAGTCCGTTTTTTTGTCTCTGATGGTTAATAAGCTTTGAGCCTAGTAGTCAAATGTGGTGGGAACGGGGACAAGACGAGGGTCCTTAGTGAAGGTGTTTGTTGTTAAATAGAACAATTCAGCTGTCTCTTTAGAAAACTTGACAAAAGGAAATGCTCCCTGCTGAAAATTTTCTTAGCCTGTTGCACAAAAGATGAAGTTTGTTTAAGAAATTGCTGCTAAAGAAAGCGTCAACCCATTAAGGTAATTATATGGAACCTGTGCCGTATAACAGCTTAATTGATGTTAATGTTTGTCTAATTGGTGATCGGGAGAGTGCAAAGGACTAAAGGTCTTCCGAGCACTTTCAGTCACGGCTCTGAAAGGGGCTCTTCTGGTTTTCACAGTTATAACAATGCCTGCGCGTCTTTCTCAGATTACGCCTTGTTTTCAGCCCCTTACAGCATTCTGCTCCACTACTTAAAGCGTAAAATAAGGGTGAAGAGCCATTGTCTAATGCAGCCTTTTTCAAAGAGTGTTTCTGACAGGGATTGTTCTAGGAATCAGCCAGGAGAGAAGGGAGTGTGAGAGGTGAAAGCCACTATCACCCACTTGTGTCACCTCCCCAATGAGCAGCAAGAGCCGCCTAATTGCTGCATCTGTTTTTTTTTTCCCCTCCGTGCCTCTATTCTCTTAAACAAGATCCTTACACTGATGCCACATGTTCCTGTGGAATCTATCAAACAAAACAAAACAAAAAAACTCACCCCAACCTTGCTGACATTTTAAAAAATTGGCATAAAAAGAACCGTTAGGAAAACATATATGACAATTAAATGCATGCACAAAAATCTATGAACTTTTATCTTTTCTATGCTTTCACCTACTACATGGACATATTTACAAATACAATTAGATAAAACAATACATAGCTGTACCTAAACACATATGTGGCTTCTCCATATAAAGATACAGCACAATTACACGAAAACTTGTACTTGCAAACACAAATGTATAGATTTGGAAATCCTTCATTTGTTTTTATACAAGAAAGTCATTTAAATGTGTCATCTATCTTTATGATTTTTTTAAAAAGTCATAGCAAGCTTCATTGATCCAGGTTATAAAACTCAAATGCTTAAATATTTTGCAACCCTAAATTAACTGATTGAAGCACCATGACTTATCTTTAAAAAATTCTCAGTTTACATACTTATTTACACACACATACACACATGTGCGCACACACACACACACAACGTATTTAAAATCCCCCCCCAACCCCGCAAAGTTGTAGTTCTCAGGCTTTTCAATTTTTATGTTTTACATTCAAATATTTAACAGATTGATATTTTCCTGTTTGTTCTCTTTAAGATTCCTTTTCTACATACAGAGTGTATTCATGTGCTATCCTAATGAGGAAATGACGAGTTTTTATCAACCTTATTAAACATACACCCAGAAGATATCCATTTTAATAAGGGGCCAATTACTAAGTGTGTCTTCAGTTAGAAAGACTTAGCTTTTACCTTGTTCTTTGGCTCTCCATGTCTCTAATTAATTGAATCTTGAAATCGTTGGACTTTCAGCTTAAGAGAAGACTGAAGAAGGGAACTTAACAACACTGCCTATTCCTTTATGTCTAGAACAGGCTAAAAAAAAAAAACACCTGTAATGCTAAAAGACTCAGGCTTTTGTCTGTTTCTAATATTACTTTTCTGCCTAATTGCCATCACTGCCACGTACATTAGGCCCTTTTTCAGCAGGGTTAAAACAGGGCCAGTGATGAATGGAAAACTGATTGTACTGCTGTCAAACTTGAATGTGAGGCTTATTCTAGAGATAGAAGTATGAGGAAAAGGACAGAGAATTGCACTTCATTAAAGCTCTACCAAGCTGATTGGAGTGGAGGAGGTAATTGAGATTTAAAGTGGCATTCCCATCACACTGTCCCTTTTTCAACTTAACAACTGTCATTCAAGCCACATAGGGCAACAATTGGCCAGATTTCCCAGCTCTTCTGAGTAATAAAACAGACACTCACCTTCTGGCTATTCGTTTTACTTACTTTGTTCTAATTTCCAATTCATGTGTCATTAGTGAACGAAGATTGACAAGAAATAGCTTTGACCTCACAGATTTGACCTTCAACCCCAAAGACCCAACTCTAGTCTGAACATAGGTTGGAATATGCTAAGAAACACCTTTCCTTTGCACAAGAATGAATGGCAGTTTTTTCATCATTGTACCACCCCCTGCTTGCCACTACATTTAGACTATGAGACATGTCAACTGCCTGTCACAATTACAATAGACACAGCAAACCGGAATTTTCCCCAAATCCAAGGGGAACTTCCTGAACAAAGAGTAAATTTTATTGCACAGATTTTGGAGACCTCCAATTTGTAGAGCCATAATGAATGCATCCCACAGACAAATAGGTAGTTGTTAATTATCCCAGCAATTTCTTTTTTTAATGTGCTAACAACACAGCATGCTAAGCCTTCATATCCTACACTGTTACCTGATGATCTCATCACATTTGAAAAGATGGTAGTCTGGGAAGTAGGCATTATTATAACAAGTATGCATGACAATGCGTTACATGATTATAATCCCTTTTCCTTATGATTTAATAAAAATAAAGTGTGATATTTTGGAAACAGATGGGTTTGGCTACACCTTTACTGAGCCAACTGAAATAGTTTAGAGTGTCACTTTTAGATAAATCTAATTTTTGTGCTTTCTTTGACTGATTATCCTAAAGCTTATACCAATTTTGTGTCATCAATATATGCTGTGGATAAAAAAATTTCTAAAAGAGAAAGCCTATGAGCAGAATAAAAATTCTCAATGAATTTAATAGTAATTTATGCCTTGTGCATAGTTCAAATAGAACTGGATCCTGGAAATCTATGACCACTGGAAATCATTATGATTTCTTCATATTAAGAAAATATTTGAATAATTCTACTGGCATGCGCACACACACACACATCCAAAAGAGGAAAATGCACAATTTTATTGTGCCATGTATTTAAAAACTTGATTCCATTTCCTTCATTATAGAACATTTGAAAACACTGCTAGGTTACTGCTTGGACTTCATTTTAATGAATTGTGAAGTCATTTTCATTTTACCACCAATATTCATTCTTCTGCAGTTTTTAACCTTTTTCAAATCATGATTATCTGATAGTGCTAATTTCACTTTAATGGACATTGCAGTCACTTGGTTTTCCCTTGTAATATTCTACTACTATAATGTGCATTTACATAATACATTGTGCTTCACTGTGTTTTCTGAATATCTTGTGTTGCTAAAAAAAAGGAGTATACAATATATTTTCTCTCAAGAAGAGGCATTTGCTTTCATGAGAAATAACAATTGTTACCACATCATCTGTAAGTACTCTCAGCTACTACCTTCAGATCATTTAAGTCTCAAATAACTGATTTCTTTTGAAGAAGGTGATTAGCATATAAATACAAAAGAATCATTTCAGAATGGAATGCACTTCCATAGCATGACATAGTAAGAGTTTACTAATAATTATGAAAATTCAGAAAGTCTATTATGAATAGAGCATTCTTTATCAGATCTGTGTCACAATTATGTGTGAAACATGTTTTCAGGGTAATGACAACTTATTTGCCATTGCTTTGGGTTAAGACATGCAGCCTCCCTATTATAATAGTGATCTTCAAGCCATAAATGAGGAAAGGGCTAGTTTGAATTGTGCTTTCTTGTGGATAAGTTTTTATATGCTTATAGGTCAGAGAAGTTCTGAACTTAAGATTTTATCTCAACAGCACATTAGTAATCATCAAAAGAAATGAATCTCTGACTGTTGGCAGTTTCTGTAGAGATGTCTTTTATCCTACACCTGTGACAATTACCCAGTGTTATGGAAGTTAACAAGAGTCAGGCCACAGGTCAAGGGTCAGGGCACTGTCAAAAGGAAGTTATTCCTCAGTCCACTAAGTCTCTTATCATTTTCATCTAATGTGATATCCACCTGACACTCAGAGAATGCAGGGATTGTCTTGTTCTACGTGCTGGACATTCCGCATCAAAGAGAAATTTTATTACTTTTTATAATTAATATATTAACATTTATTTTCAAAGTAAACACACTGAACTTATAAACATTTCAAAGTGCTATGATGTTTGTACTGACAAGGAATAATTTTTAAAGGTTTTCCGTACTAGTGTTTGATTGACTTAATGGTCATATGTTATAAACTGAGTAAAAAAAAGTTAACTTAATGAGTAATGACATGAATAGCAATGGAGAATTAATGAAGAAGAAAAGAGCTCTAAAACTTTCTGTGTGCTTAAGTATGTGCAAGCTCACTTTAGATATTATGGACTGACAGATTTCTCCTAATAAGTATAGTTCTAGGAAGCAATAAACATCTTCTGTGAAATATTTTCATATTGGATTGAAGTTATACACAGTTGGATGTTCTTATGCTATATTTGAATATAAAGAAAGTCTATTTAGAATGCTATGTAGTGAAAAGCTCAGTTATCTTAGTGTATACAATATGCAAATTGTAATTTGCCTTGTCAAGATACTCAACTCTGAAGGAAAATCTTCTCTCTAAAAATCTTCCTTTAAAAGAAAATCTTAAAGGTTAAAAAAAAAACAGGTTGAAAGTGACTAAGTTGGTTCATTTAGACCCTTTTCAGTGCAAGGAGACCAAATCACAAAGAAGCTTCATGCTATCCTTTGTTACCAGAAAAATGTAAAGTAAGTTTCAAGCATTTTCATATGCCCTTTTCTTTCTGGCAATCATAAGAATAACATCGTGAGATGAAAAGTTTTAGAATAGAACTCAAGAGACCATATGCTTTAGCCTCAAATCAGTTATTAGCCTGTTGAATAGCATGAGTCTCAATTTTCCCAGATGTCAAATGGGAGAGAAAGCTGACTTCTTTTTTCTCAACTTTATGGATTTTTAAAGTTTTAACAGCATCTTTTCCATACTTAGAAATCAAAATCTCCCCTTTATTCTCCTAAAAATTGTTTAGTCTTAGTTACTAATTTTAAAATCTGCTGAGATACTCTTGAACTTTATTGAGGACAAGGACGGTGTCTTCATGTTTTATTCAACTACTTAGTAGAGTGCCAGTCAAATTAATGAATGAAGAAATGATTTTAGCATGACTATACATTCTGGTCTATGCTTTTCTCCAAGTTTATTAATAGTTTCAGAAGCATCCCAGTTTGGATGACAAATTATTCTCATCATTTCCT